AACATATCCAAAATTCAGCCCAATTGAACATATGTGGAGTCCTTAGCCCGTCCAACACTGAACCATGCTCAGGAGGATTTGCAGCTGCCAGCTTTGAGCCTTGTCTCCTCCTTTAAGCCATGTGCCTCACCCATGCTGCAACTGACTTTGGATCCAACATAATGAGTGAAGTGGGGAGGCATTCCAGCTATGAAAGTCTAAAGGATCAAGTTGGTACATGCTGGAGTTATTATAGAGAAAGCATGTGCATGCATGTAAAGCATAAATGAAATGAAGTCAATTCCAGTCTCTGTTCGGCAGCCAAATTGCAAGGCCCAAAACGCATACTTCTACTGCTCCGATGGGAATACTTTCTTCATAGAAGTTGTTCCAATGGGTGTCTAGTATAACATATCCAAATTTCAGCCCAATTGAACATATCTAGAGTCCTCAGCCCGTCCAACACTGAACCCTGCTCAGGAGGATTCGTTTTTCCAGCAACACATGTGCAACAGCAAAAGAACTTTATTAGCCAGCAACAAAGACTAGCAGCACATGGGTTGGCAGCAAATAAAGAGCCAGACCTCCATGCTAAAAGAAGAAACCAGCAAACCCATGTGAAGATAGCTTGAGGTGCAACAAAAGAAGTATGGGATGGAGTTGATTCCAACCACACTAACATAGGCAAGATGAAGTGGGAGTTATGGGTTGTATTAAATGAGGAATGGTGGTGTTGGATTTCATCATGATGTTCCTTCCTCTTAGCCCTATAAATAGAGAAGTCTTCAAGCTTCATAAATCACACCCCAAGGGGGGGGGCTCTCAAACACTTCTCTAGAGCTCCCTTCCTTTCTTCCTCAAAGTTCTCTTAGTTTCCTTGATGTTTTCTTAGTTGTAATTTATTTTTCTTTGTTATGTAAATTCTTTTCTTAAGTTTTCAAGTTGAATTAGTTTCCATGTTTCAATTATGGTTTTTGTTCTTATTCATTATGCTTATAAGTTAATATGTTAGTTTGAATGATTGATCACCATTTAGGCTTGCGTGTTAGCTATCTTGGTTTGAATTAAGAGTATACACCATGCTTTAATTCGAATTGAACTATGAATAGGAAGAGTATGTATGGACATTCGACAACAGGGATTAGATACATGCTTGGTTGTTTAAATTGTTCTTCTATGCTTAATGGGTTCCTAATGCTTAATTTTAGGTTAGACAACAAATGATCAAATTAGGGAATTAGGAACACAAGGTTATGACCACACACCATGGCTTAATCATACTTTAGCTAGAATCAATCCATTAATCTAAATTGAACTTGGGAACTTATTTGCTTGAGTTACTTATTTCTTTCTTCCTTGTTTTATGTTCTTTGTTTTTGTTTCTATTTTGTGTAGGGAAACTAAATTGGATCATTCAATCACCAATCCCTGTGGAATCGACCTCGCACTTACATACGCTATACTACCAACGGTTCGTGCACTTGCGAGTATCACAAGTTGAGGATGCAGCTTAATCCATTTTGGTGGAGCTAAATCGACACAACAGTAACCTAGTTACGTGGCATAGCAAGAAGCAAAACGCTGTGTCTCGATCCTCTGCAGAGTCTGAGTACAGAGGGATTGCCCAAGGGGTTTGTGAAATATTGTGGTTGAGGTGGTTACTTGCTGAAATTAGGTTTAGACCGGATGCTGCTACAAAGCTCTATTGTGATAATCAGTCTGCATTTGAAATTGCTAACAATCCGGTGCAACATGATCGAACTAAGCATGTAGAAGTTGATCGGCATTTCATTAAGGAGAAGCTCGACATAAGTTAATTTCTATACCTTTTGTACCTTCTTTAGAGCAGCTTGCAAATATGTTGACCCATGTCGTGTCAAAGCGCCGATTTGAAGACTCACTTGACAAGTTGGGCATTACCGATATCTATGCACCAACTTGAGGGGGAGTGTTGGCGTGAGTCAATGTTTCTATTAGGAATAGAATTTATATTTTATTGTAATTATCTAATTTGAGTAGAATTAGGAGGTTTTGTACATATTTCATATTTGTACCCACTCTGTATGTAGTATATATATTCCTCCTTGAGAGAAGAATAAACATATAAGTTTAAACCCTAATTATTTTGAGTATTATCTTGATGCTAAAGATAAACCAGCCAGTAGCAATACATAATACATTATCTCCAAATAAAAATGAGATTTTCACAAATTCTTATGATCAAGTGCTTTACGATAATCTTATTAGCTCGGGTGTGAATGTGTTACATCTTACACAAAAAAAAATTTAATTATGAGTGCTGCTAAACGAACCCTAGTACACCCTAATTATCCGTTTTATTATTAAAATTCATTAATAGATATTGTCAACAATGAATTGGCCGGAAAGGGCTTAGTTTTCCTTATTTGCTTGCCTTTTTGAAATTTTGTTCCCTCATTCCCGGATAATCTACCTATTTTGGAACTTGGATTTCATTTATTACACCTAGTTTTTCATGGAAAATAATCTACCTAAATTTTTTAAAAATAATAATGTACCTATTTCATGACTTATTTATTTCAATACAACATTTATATGTAGTTTTTTTTGTCTTTTATGAATGATAGTATACCTATTAAAGTTTTATTGTACCTAGTTTTTCATGGATAATAATCTACCTATTATTTTTAATAGGTACAATAATTTACCTATATTATGGATACTATACCTAGTATTGTATCTATTAATTTCATCCATAAAATAATAGATAGATTATTATTTTTTACTGTACCTATTATTTTAAATTTGTTTAAATAATAATGTACCTATTATGTGATTTATTTAAATATAAAATTTATACATGTTCCTTTTATTTTATGAATGATAATATGCCTATTAATTTTTCACTGTACCTATTATTTTTATGGATAATAATCTACCTATTATTTTTTATAGACAATATTTTACCTATTATTTTTATGAGTAGTAATTTATCTATTATTTTCTCCTATGGGTCATATGATGTAATATATGTAGGCATGAAAATGTCAACGTACTTTTTTTCTCTTTGGCATTGTACCTATTCGAATATATATATATAATTGAAGGAAATTAACTAAATATATATAATTGGAGGGTGTAGGTATAAAAAAATTCTTTTATCCGACCTATAGGAGGTTAGGAGGGAGTATTTAAACTAATTTGATTGTAGGCCATTATTCCAAGAGTGAAAACATAAATGTGGCATGAGAGGTATTATTTATTTGCATAAAATTAGGGAATAAAAAAGGGTCATCCAATTTTAAAATTGAGTTAATTAAACCTTGTATTATTGGTGGGTTATCGTCTATGGTTTTTGAGTTACAAGGGCCTATTTTAGCATGAACCTATAATATATCATCCCGTATGATTGCTGAAGAATTCAACTTAGTATTTATTTCAAATAATAGATGGAGTTCAAAGCTCACTTGATACAATTTTATTTATACATTCAAAGCTCACTTACCACTTGTTAGAGCATTTACAGTGGGAGTGTAAAATTCGGGGTGTAAGGCCACTTTTACATTCTTTTTACACCTTCGAATGGTGTAAATGTGATTTTTTACTCCAATTGAGAAGATGTAAATCCAATTATGTACGTATATTCGATTTTCTTGTGTTAATTCACTTTTGTGTTAATCTTATAAATTAATTATGTGTGTTTATTAGGTTTATTTTATTTTTCTTACGAATGGACTTTTAAAATTTTAAATTCAGAAAAGAAATGATTTTATTTAACAAGAACTGATAGTGATGAGGAATTGTGATTTTGGGAATAATTGCTTTTCAATTGCAAGAGATCTGAACCGTTGATATTGAACGGAGAGAGAAGCACTACCGTTTATCATATAGACGTTGGGATTTTTGGAGACTAAGTGGTTAGTGCGTTGATGTCACAGGTGCATTCATCACACTCAACAAAGCAGGGCCCGCGAACTGGTTACTTTTTTTTCATAAAAAAACTCGCCTCACTCTTTTTCTCTCGTGGGGCTCAGCATGTCGGATATAATATAAAAAGAGATGGAAATTTTCATATTTTTTCTACATTGCCAGCGCCTTTTGTACATATACATCCATTTACATATTGGGCATTGGAGCACTTTCCGGCCAGCTTACTCTGTGTATATATAAGTTAACAAATGACATACACACCTCTATAATGGAGATAATACTGTTTTGTTATCCTCGATTAATAACACAATGACATGAGGAAAAACAAGTTTAGATTCTACTGATGGAAAAACAATAATTGAGTGCCTTTGATTTGATGTAATAGCTCATGTGTTGATTAAAGTTGCTTTAACAAAGTTTGGATTCTACTGTGGAAAAACAATAATTGAGTGCCTTTGATTTGATGTAATAGCTCATGTGTTGATTAAAGTTGCTTTAACAAAGTTTGGATTCTAATGTGGAAAAACAATAATTGAGTGCCTTTGATTTGATATAATAGCTCCTGTGTTTTCATTATTACCACGCTCACTGATTAAGTGTTTCCTTCGCATGCACTTTCAGCTTTTGCTTATATATAATACTGAGAGTTTGACACTTCGTTTCATTGTCTTCATTATTGCTATCCACCCTCTTTGATCAAAATTCTACTGCGTACTTTCAGTTTCTTCATTGCAGCAACCTTCTTTTGCTTTTACAGACCCCAAAAGAAAAATAAAATTTTTAAAAAAATCTTTTGCCTTATTTTACTTTCTTTTACTTCTCAAATTATAAAAGTCAATCAAAAGAAGAAGAAAAAGAGTATTGCCTTTGGAGGGGATAGCATTTAAATTCCTGGTTTTCATTTGTCTCTTGATTTGATTGTGTCACTTTCACGAATTCATTTTGCTCTTACTTAGCGATTGTTCCTGAACGAGCCTTATTCATTACAGGGGGGAAAAAAAAGAATCAGAGTTCTTAGCACTATGTACTCCCAGTTCTATAAGCAAAGGAATTTGAAGAGCAACTGGCCTCATTCATCACCCAAAGCGTGAAAAGGTATTATGCGTCTTTTTGTTTCCCTCTTTGTTTTCATTTCCTCAGCCCTTTTCTTTTCTTATTTTTGTTATGGGAGCTTTATATGAACTCTCAATTAACTAAAATCCAACTAATTTTGCAAAGGATCCACTAGTGTAGGCAAGGTCCTGGGTTCAAATTCTAGCAACTGCATATTGTGTGTGAGTTAGGCTTTCATTTACGAGAAACCGCATATTGTGTGTGAGTTAGGTTTTCTTTTTTACTAGCCTCTCCGCACGCGCTTCCGTGCCTGCGAGAGGCTTTTTTTTAGAAAATTTTAAATTTATTTTAGAATTAAAAAAGATAATGGGTAGTTGTGTTTTATAAAAATAGGATCCATTATTTGATTTTTCTTTTAATTTTAAATTTTTTAATATGAAAAAATGTGAATTTACCATATTATCCTCATTTAATTAATAATTTCAATTCTTAATGTTTGCATTAACCAAGGGCATTTTTTGGTATTTTGAATGTTTCACAATTCTCTGCCTTTTGCTTTATATATACTAGCCTCCCCGCACGCTCTTCCGCGCCTGCGAGAGGCTTTTTTTTAAAAAAAAAAAATTTTTAATTTATTTTAGAATTTAAAAAGATAACGGGTAGTTGTGTTCCATAAAAAGATGATCCATTATTTGAATTTTCTTTAAATTTTAAATTTTTTTTAATATGAAAAAGTGTGAATTTATCATATTATCCTCATTTAATTAATAATTTCAATTCTTAATGTTTGCATTAATCAAGGGCATTTTTTGGTATTTTGAATGTTTCACCATTCTCTGTCTTTTGCTTTATATATATAGATATATTTTATTTTTAGAATTAAGAAAAGATAACATGGGTAGTTATGTGCCATAAACTTACTTAGATAACATGGGTAGTTACGTGCCATAAACTTACTTACTAAATTCGACGGTACAAGCTAATTTGATTAATAAACATAAAAAATACACAAAGGGGAACCAAAAATAGATAGGAGAATCATAACCAAAGATTCTTGTTGAATGAGTAGTAAATTAATCAAGACATATGTACGCCTATAATTTACATATCATATTTCTCTTTGAGTGTTTTTTTCTTCCTCTTTTGTGTTTTTGGTTCACATTTGCTTTTATGTTTTTTTTTTTTTGGTGTGGGTATTTGTTTGTTTTTTCAAAAAATAATATGAACATCAAAATCATTAGTATTGAAAAAATAAAATCTCAAGAAGAGAAAAAAAATATCCTCCAAAGAGAAAAAACACACCCATTCTTTGGAGGCTTTAATTACTATCCTCCATGTGGCAATCAGAATCACATCCTACCACGTGACAAACTAAAATTAACACCACCAAAGACAACCACTATTTGCAAATAAAAATACATGTCTGAACCGAGATTCTACTCACTTTAATTATAGCAAAAATGAACAAATAAGAGAAAAAAAAAAGTGTTAATTGTAAGAAAAGTCAGCTACGAAGATCAGAACTAGGAACTAAGGCCTTATTTGGTGGGCTGGACCGAATTGGTTAGGATTGGGTTTGGAGTGTTGGACTGGTTTGGCTTGAATTGGGTTAAACTTTAATAACTTATTTGGTACACTAAAGTCATGTCCGTTGTTTGTTGTTTGGTATAAGTATGGACTGGACTACATTGGACTTCAAACAAAATTTATTTTAATGTTTATTAAAATTATTTAATATTAGAAATAATTAAATTGAATAAAAAAACATGTACACAAAATTAAAAATAAGAAATCACATGAAGATATCATAAAAATAGTCCTAAAATTCACAAAAATACATTCAAATATACTGCCTTTGTTGGTATCACCGTCTTCACCAATCTCCACTCCTGAAGCCATTGAAGTTTCAAATGATTCTGCAATTTTCTTAAAGCCAGTCCCTTTGCTATCTCCTCTCACTCTTCAAATTCAAATCCAAAAATAGCAAAAGTCAAAGAAAACCAATATGAAATCAGTAAAAGTGGTTCGAACCAGATCTTCAAAATTTGATCTTCACTTGAAATCCATTCCCAATAGAACTATGAATCGAAACCGAACAACACAATCTGAAGACCAAATAAGGAAAGAACAAAAACTGGGGATTAGGATGGATATGAAGCTATTAAGAAAATCAAAACTAGTGATTAGGATGACCCGAAACAAAAAAAATTAAATTGAAACAAAAGAAAAAAAATCAACAGTATGAAGCTACGAAGAAAATCAATAGAGTAAAAAACAAAAACATTACTTAAAAAGCAAAACCCATCCAACAACCAAGCAAGAAGATCAGATTTTTTGTTATGACCAGAGGTTTGACTGAACATTTTCAAAAGAAGAAAAACACAAACGAAACCAAGATGTGAATGAGTTTCAGATCTGGAAAGAGTGGAATGAAAGAAGAGGAGAGAGGAGATATGGGAGAGCATAGATTCGTACCATTCTTCTCTCTTGATTTTTGCTTCAATTTCAGTCACAAAGCCTGCGAAGTCGACAAGGCTCAGTCACAAAGCCTGAGAAGAGAGGCTTCGTTCTAAACCTGGGAGCATCAGAGATAAAGATGAATAGAAGAAGAGAAGAAAGACGATGAAAAGAAGACGGAGGCGGAGGCTTCGAAACCCATGGTTCCACTTGGGTTTACAAAACCCTCGTTCGCTGGATTGGTATCCTATTTAAAATATGAGTCTTAACCAGTCCCATAGTGCATTTAGGCTCACCAAACAACAGCTAGGATTATAGTCCATTTTAATTGAAAAAGTCTTGTACAGTCTAGCCCACCAAACAGGGCCTAAAAGATAAAAATAAAATATCCTTGACTCTAAGGCGCAAAATGTAGTGCCTAGAATACAGAAAAACATCACGAAGAAAACCCAGTCTGGGTTAAATCTAGATTTCATAAATGGCAGAGAACCAAAGAACTTAAAGAATCACCTTTCCAACCATGAGATGTGGTGTGGTGGTAGCTCACCTCATTCCTTAACCATGTGGTTGGGGGTTCGATCCCCGCCTATGGGAATGGAGCGCATTTCGTGGCCAGCCGTTTACCTCCTTTGGGAGAGCTCCCGCGGCGAAAGGGATTAGTCACTGCTTTCGGCGGTGGACACCCTTGGATCTCATCCAAAAGAATCACCTTTCCACTGAATTTCTTCTCTAGCTCCCTCACAAGCAGAATTCGAACATGAATCTTTCGATAAGCCTTTCTAAGTCTATATGGTATGGGGATAACAACCGCCTTCCGGTTCCCAGCCACATCAACTGGAGCTTGATTGGTGGAAAGGCATGATGTGTGGTTGTGATGTCGGCAGAATAGCATAATTTGCGGATAGATTTTCTTGCTTGGTGGATGATTTGAAGAGCCATTGCATCTCTTCTCTTATGCTTCACTTTTGTTGTTGTATTTCCATAATAAATTTACTTGTTTGGATTAGCAATTCAAAGTAGTATATAAAAAGGCCAACAAGGGTTGGTTGAGTTGGCAATGATCGTTCTCTTCACTATTCAAGCTTAGGATCGAAGCCCACTGCTGACAATTTCTCTTGGTGGGTAATCTGTAAAAATAATAAAAAAAAGGGCTAAGACCCCCTCTTAAGTCCTCAAAGTGGCCTTAGGATGGGGTAGCCTCCCTTCCGCTAAACATTTTTTCATAAAAAAAGAAAAAGAAAAAAAAGTAGTATATAAAAAGGAAGATTATTTTCCACTTATCTTTTGTCCCTTTACACTTCTTTTGTTGGAAATTCTATATTTTTGTCCACTTACACTCCCTTGTATGTGATAATAAAAAATATTTTAAAAAACAAAATAAAGTGTAAGTGGACAAAATTAGGAGTGGGAAAATCAGCACCTATAAAATTTAGGGAGATTCACTATTATACCCAATAGAGGGGCTCAAATAATAAAAATACCTTATATAAAATGGACTTTAGAAACATACCCAAAACTCATTTACAACATAACAAAGAGACTTTTAACTTCTTATAAGTTACAAAACTGCCATCAATTTCTTAAAACAAGCCCAACCCCAAAACCTTATAAAAAAACCAAAATACTCAATAGGGTATGAAAGTAATTTAATAATCAAAATTAAATTCAATAGGTCAAAATTAAATTCAATAGGGCTAGCTGTCATTTTTTGGGTTTTTTTGGGTTTGTTTATAAAAATTAAATGGTGTAGGGTTTATTTATATCATTAGTGCTAAGAATGAGTATATGACTAAATATCTCTAAAATTTATGAACTATCTTCAAAAGTTAAGTTGTATCCTATTTTTAAATCTAAACATTTGTTTAGCATTGATTCAAAAGCTGTTTTAGAATTTTGAAGTACTTGAAAACTTCTTTGGTTGACAATTTTAAAAGAGTGCTGCTAAACGAAATTTAAAATTAACTGAGTATACCCTACTGTCAAACTATTTATTGAATTACTAATTTATCCTAATATAAAATGACCAAAAATGATATATTGAATTGTGTCAAGGATCTCAAGTCTCTGTATTTAGCATCGGTGCATTTATATGCATTTAAGCAAATACTAACCATTAAATTAATCTAATGTATTCTAATAAGTCCATATCAGCATAATTGTACTAACATAAAACTCACAATTTGCATTGTATCCAATACTTTTGAAATATAAATAAATAAATAATGTATCATCAAACATAAACACCATCCCGACCCAACCTCCTTACCCCACTGCCACTGCTAGCCATCCATGTCGTTCTATCTCTCTCTCTCTCTCTCTCTCTCTCTCTCTCTCTCTCTCAGAATTTTGGATGACGGACTCTCAACAAGGCCTACGAATTGAAGTCCTCCATCATTAGGAATCTCTCTTAACTCCAAAACAACCCTCTAGTGATAATCTAATTCCGATTTCTATGAAATAAAGCTTACCAATTTTGTGATAGGGAATAATTTTATCAAATTCTAATCACTAATAATTCGCCACAAGTACTGTAATTGGTTATCAACTGTAGGACTTAATGAGGAAGGTCTGTGTGAGAGAAGAAAAGAGAGTGAGGGGCAGGGGCCATGGTTGATAGTGGAGAGAGTGAGTAGCAGCAGTCATGGCTGGCAGTGAGGAGGCTGGGTTGAGAAGGAGGTAGTTATTGCTGTAACATTTTATTTTTTTATTTTTTATTTCATAAGTATTGGCTAAGAAGGTGCAAATGGTGAGAGTTTTAGGTTACTACAATTATGATGATGTGGGCTTATTAGAATTCATTAGATTAATCTAATGGTTAGTATTTGTTTAAAAGGGTGTTGTGTAACAATATATTAGGGTGTATCAGGGGTATTTTTGGTAATTAAATAGGGTGTACTTAGTTAATTTTGTATTTTATTTAAAATATTATGGTGTACTTAGATCATAGGGTGTACTCAGTTAATTTTAGAGTTCATTTAGCAACACTCTTTTAAAAATCATTTATTTCTAGCTACTTGTATAGATTAAGACCCATAAACAAACTAGGGACCTGAGAATCCAGATACACATGACACGAGCCACAATTAAGGCTTAGGTCCGAAATGACTTTAGATTCTTTTTCCCCAATTTGTCTATACCCTATATGTCTCCTACCTAATTTATTGACACCTAACACTCACTTAAAACTTTTCACTCTAATTCAACACTGTTAAATAGGGGTGACAATTTCCTACACGATCCGTTACACGACTCGAAACCCACACGGAAAAAACACGACCCGAACCCACACGATTAATAATTGGGTAATTTTCGGGTCAATCTTTTATGACCCGTTTATTAAACGGGTGGGTTTCGGGTCAACCTGCCAACCTGTTAAAACACACGTTTAAGCCGTTTATTAAACGAGTCGTGTCTTTTTTTTTCTCTTTCTTTTCCTTCTCTTTAGTTTTCTCTCCTCTCTCTCTTTTTTCTTTCTTTCTTTCCTTCTCTCTTCTCTCCTCTCTCTATCTTTTTTCTTTCTTTCTTTTTCCTTATATTTTCTCTCCTCTCTTGGTTTTTTATTTAAATTTTTTCAGTTGTGAGTTAAGTAACATGCATGTTATTATTTATGAACCCGTTACACGAATTGAAACCCACACGATAAAAGACAACCCGAACCCAACACAACACGTTTATTAAATGGGTTGGGTTTGGGTTGAGCATTCTTGACACGTTTATTATCCCGACACGACACAACCCATTGCCAGTCCTACTGTTAAATCCAGATAATTATGTGATTGGCACATTTGTCCTATATTTATGTGATCATCTGATTACATTTTCTTTTTTTTGGTTTCCCAAGGTATCCCCAGGTATGGCCGAGGCCTAATCCTCCAAGATACTGTCGGGCGCATATGCGGGGACCTCTCCCAAGAAAGTTTTTTACATCCACAAGGGCTCGAACCCGAGACATTGATTACATTTTCTTTCACCTGTTATCAGAAGTATCTAACCCGAGACATTGATTACATTTTCTTTCACCTGTTATCAGAAGTATCTTATTAAGAAAAACAAAAGTGTTAGAGACTGATCCTCTGTGTTCGTCTTTTAAAGCTTAGTCTCACGATCTAAGGTATGCCTTTTAGTTTCATTCTTTAATTTCAATTGCTTTATTCTTTTTTGGCTTTTTATCACAAATGGTATCTGAGATTTAGAAAATTGTCACGAATAGTCCTGGAAGGTTTTTTGTGACATTAATAGTCTTGAATGTTAAACCTTTTTATCACAAATGGTCCATGTTGTTAGAAATTCTATTAAGTTTGACGTGGAAAATAAGTATCACAAAGAACCCACATGTCCAATCACATCGTGACATGTGGATTAAATAAATAAATAAATATTTTTAATGAAAATCCATTTGTTTCTGCAACTTCCCATCCCCCTCCCTCTACTCCATCTAGAGCTGGCAAACGGGTCGTTTTAGCGGGTTCCGGGTCGTTAACGGGTCAACCCGTTTTCTTAACGGGTTGACACGAACACGACCCGTTAAGTTAACGGGTGACAAATACTAGACCCAAACACGACCCGTTACAATTCGCGAATATCCGACACGACCCGATTCAGTGCAAAAAATTCTTCAAAAAATCCCTTTTTTTTGCTGGCCAAATGATTAACAGAGAATAAACAGTTTTTTCCTAAGAAAAATACTTTGCATACAGCACAGTTGCTATCAAAATCTCATTCTCTTTGATTACTTCTTCCATGCCTGTTCAACTAAATAATGCTTATAGGTCACAACTTTAAAAGATATCGAGTAGTTTATTGGTTGATCAGAGGGGGAGAGAGGGGGGCATAAGGTGGAGAGAGGGCAGAGGGGGGAGAGAGACGGAGAGGGAGGGGGATGGGAAGTTGCCAAAAAAAAAAGGATTTCATTAAAAAATATTTATTTATTGAATCCACATGTCACGATGTGATTGGACATGTGGGCTTTACTTATCTTCCATGTCACACTTAACAGAATTTCTAACGACATGAACCATTTATGATAAAAATTTCTAACGTTAAGGACTATGTTATAATGTCACAAAAAAACCTCAAGGACTATTCATAACAATTTCATAAACCTCAGGGACCTTTTGTGATAAAAAGCTTTCTGTTTTTCATTGTTTCTTTTCTTAATTTTCTCATTTCAAAATTTGGGCCTGTGATATACAATAGATGTATGAGTACCGAATTTCAAAGGCAAAATAAAGAAGCAAGCAAATTAGTAGCATGGAGATTCTCACCGTAATTATTCCTGAGGTGGTTGGAAAAGTAATCGAGTACACTGTTGTTCCAGTTGGACGTCAAGTGGGTTATCTAATTCACTACAAAAGCAACCGTCAGAATCTAAGGCGCCAATTGAAGAACTTAAATGCTGCCAAAGAAAGGCTGAAGCATACGGTTTTTGAAGTTGAAAGAAAAGGTAAAGGAATCCATGATGATGTCCAGAACTGGAGTAGAGAAGCAGATGAGATCACTCAAGAGGCAGAAACATTCTTGGATGATGTAGGCCAAGTAAGGACAAAGTGTGTCCATGGAATATGTCCTAATCTGGTATCCTATCATCAGCTTAGCAGGAAGTCTACAAAATTGATAAAAAAGATTGAACTCCATGAAAAAATAGAGTTTCCTAGTGTTTCTTACAATGCTCCCGCAGAAGAGATATTTGCCACACCCTCCGAAGACTACATGGCCTTCGAATCAAGGAATTCAATGGTGAAAAAAATCTTGGAGGAATTAAGAAATCCTGGTACCAACTTGCTTGGTGTATACGGAACTGGTGGGGTGGGGAAGTCCACACTCGTCCAAGAAGTTTACAGACAAGCTAAAAAAGAGAATTTGTTTGATGATGTGGTTATAGTATTGGATGCCAAGCAGTATCCAGAAGCCGAAAAAAAGGAAAGAATTCAAAAGAAAATTGCTGAAAAGTTAGATATGGATGTTCAGGAAAGTCAGGATATAGAAGGAAGGGCAAAAACTCTATGGAATAGGATAAAAGACAAGAACATTTTTGTAATTTTAGATGATGTATGGGAAGCAATTAAGTTGGAGGCTTTGGGACTTCGCCCAATGGCAACTTGTAAAATATTGTTGACGTCTAGAGATCGAGTCTTTGAGATGCGTACACAAAAAGAGTTTCGGCTTGAAGTTTTAGGCATGGAAGAAAATTGGAGTTTATTTGAGAAGATCGTAGGCGATGTTGTTGAAGATGACCGTATAAGAAAAGTAGCAACAAAAGTAGCCAAAAAATGTGGAGGCTTGCCGGTTTTAGTAGTTGCAGTTGCAAGCGCTTTAAGATCAGAGAATACTTTAGAGGTATGGAAAGATGCCTTGAGGCGCTTCAAAAGTCGATTGGCAAAACCAGCGTACTTGGCTCTAGAATGGAGTTACAATCGATTAGATGGCGAGGAGCTTAAGCCATTGTTCTTGCTCTGTGGAATTATTGCAGGGGGGAGCTGTAGCATTTCCCTCAGTGACTTGTTGAAATATATTATGGGTTTGGGTTTGGTTAAAAATGTTGATCGAGTGGAAGAGGCACGGGATACATTGCTTTCACTAGTTAAAAAGCTTAAAGATTCTTGCCTGCTGCTAGAGAGTTATGATGATGGAAGAGTTAGAATGCATGAGCTTGTACGAGATGTTGCTATCTGGATTGCATGTAGAGATCAACATGCCTTATCAAGAGCATATGGAGATGAGTTGACAGAATGGCCACATAGGGATTTCCTTAAAAAATGCTCTGCTATCTCCTTAAACTATTGCAAGATCCCCAAGCTTCCTGAAGTACCTTGGGTATGCCCAGAATTAAGATTTTTTAAGTTGGTAAATCATAATAACGATGACTCCCTGGAAATAACAGGCAACTATTTTGAAGGGATGAATGAACTCAAAGTGGTCGATGTAACTGGACTGCGTATTCCGTCACTACCTCCATCTCTTCAATCCCTAACAATTCTTCAAACGTTGTGCTTAGATCAGTGCGTGTTGGGGGACATAGCTCTTGTTGGACAGCTAACAAACTTGAAAATCCTTAGCCTTATACACTCTCACGTTAAAGAGTTGCCTAAACAAATAGGGCAGTTGACTTGTCTACAATTGTTGGATTTGACAGGTTGCTCTGAACTTGTACTAATCTCACCTGGGGTTATATCAAGCTTGACAAGGCTAGAAGACTTGAGAATGGGAATAAACAGCTTTAAGCAATGGGAAGGCGAAGGTTTCATCGATGGAAGAAGAAATGCTAGCATTATAGAGCTGAAGCACTTGTCTCAGCTAACCGCATTAGAGATACATATTCCGGATGCTAAAATACTTCCAGCAAACTTATTCTCCGACAAGTTAGAAAGGTACACCATCCTTGTTGGTGATTGGCCAAGTCCTCATACCAATGATACCTCCTCTAACGTGCTCAAACTCAAGCTGGCTACGAGAAATCAATTCGACCGAGGTATAAAATCACTGCTGAAGAAATGTGAGGATTTGTCCTTGGATGGGATGGAGGCTGTAAATATTATTTCCTATCTATTAGACAGCGGCAGCGCTAAACAACTGAAGCGTCTCCACGTCCAAAACAATGATGAAGTTATATCAATCATTAACTCCGTCAGTTGGAGTTATTCTCGTAATGCCTTCCCCATAGCTGAGCCTTTTCCAAAATTAGGGTCTTTGACATTGCGGAATCTACCAAAGCTTATTGGTTTCTCCTCCGAAGACAAAAGCAGGTCAATTGTAACTACAAGAACGCACAAGCAGTTAACGATTGATACAGAGGCTGAAGAAATCATTTTGGAGAATGAAATTGGTGGACCCACGAAACTTTTCTTGAATGGGGAGGTACGTTTTTACACGTCAGAAATGACAATTTGTAGCGTTCATTTTGGTTAATTTTTAATTAATTAATTTATTTATTTATGTACAAGTGATAATCTACTTTAATCTAATCTAAACTATGGGAAGTGGGATTTGGCTATAGAATGGGGAACACATCCGCTCTAACCAACTTAACTAAGCCCATATTTGCATGCATATGTTTTTTTTTTTTTTTTATACAAGAAAGATGCATATGTTTTTCAATGATTTATAATATGGTCCATCCTGAAATATTATGATGAAAGCATGCATGATTGGTGTCGAAAGTCTATCTTATACTAAGAACGAATGTATCAAAAACATTGAATTTGTTTTGACAAAAAACAAAAAGGGAAAATCTTATGATGGCTTTCCGAGCCTCACTAATTTACTCTTCACTAATAATGTGTTATTTGTATCAATTTAACTAAATTACTCTAGATTTCAGGGAAATAATTTTGAGCCCAATGTTTCAAAAGCGAAGTTGCTGGTTGGTTACTAGTTGTGTCATATTGAACCATTTGGAATGTATACAACTTATAACCATGTAAATTGTTTTTCCCTAATTGCAAACTTGTCAAAGGCAGTATAACCATCCCTTTGCACTCAAGTTCGAGTCCTCCCTTTTTGGTAGATTAGATTAATTTAGAATTGTTTAGATTATTGCTTGTATTAAAAAAAAACTTGTTGTTTCATAATTTAAACATTAATTGTGTACTATATACAGGTTCTGATGGGCCACTTAACAACCTTGATCTTGCACCAATGTGATGGTTTAAGATTCTTGTTTTCATTTTCTATGGCTAGAAGTCTTGTTCAACTCAAGCATCTTAAGATATCCCACTGTCAAATCATGGAAGAGATAGTAACAAAAATTGATTGCAGCGAGGAAAATACAGATAACATATTTTGCAAGCTAAAACATCTACAACTGCAGTATCTTCCAAGCCTCGTTAGATTCTGCTCGGGAAGTTATATTGAATTTCCATTGTTAGAGCTGTTACATCTAGAAGATTGTACTAAAATGGGGACTTTCATATTTGATTCGAAGAGCGAAAGTGTTACAATCGGGAAACAAACTGAAGAGAGGGACTTGAAGGAGAATGTTGAGACTGATGTACAATACTTTATCTTGGATCAAAAGGTAAATTAGGCCTTATTTCATTTCCTTTTAGCATTTATTTCCAATTAATGTGTATCATTTCAACTGAAAAAGGTTTATTGAGACGTTCACAAGATCAATTTGCCCATCTTCAGGTAGGATTTCCTAGCTTGGAGATATTGATCATCCATGACCAGCCTAAGTTGCTAGGTATATGGCACAGCCAACTTGCTCCAAACTCGTTTTGCAGACTTCGGAAAGTTAAAGTTTTCAGATGCCACAGCCTAACAAATATCTTTGCGCCAAGTATGATTGGAAGATTGAATGCTCTAGACACATTAGAGATAAGGCATTGCCAGTCACTACAAGTGGTATTTGAACAAGCATATTACACATCAACCACTGAATTGAAAACATTTGAATGCCCCAGTCTTGATTTAATTCGTATAGATTCGTGTCAGAGTTTGAAAAATATATTTCCAGCCTCAGTGGCCACAGCTCTTCAACATTTAAGGGAGCTGCACGTGGAGAATTGTGGAACATTGAAGGAAATTGTTGCGGAGGATGGACTAGAAGCAACACCCACGTTTGTGTTCCCAAAATTAACATATGCAATATTTCAAAAGCTGCCCCAACTGAGGAGTTTCTATTTTGAGCTGCATGTTTCCAAGTGGCCATTACTCAAAGAATTGGTATTTTTGGAATGTGGTAATGTGGAGATTTTTGCTTTCGAGTTTTCAAGATTCCGAGAAAAGCTTGAGTTGGGTCTCCATGCTCCAATCAAACAACCTTTCTTCTTACTTGACAAGGTACGAATACTTGTACACAACTTTCTTTCCATATAAAATAAAGTCAATGATTTTCTATTAATATGAATCAAATGATTATTTGGCCTCCACTTTTTCTTTCGCATTTTATTTATTTATTATCAAAGATAAACTTCAACAGTACAATCAAAGACATCAACATAATATCTAAAGTAACAATCCCAAGAGGGCAACAAACTAACATGTTAAAAACAAAACTAGAATAGATAAAAGCCGCACTAAAACTACTAGTCCACATCACCATAATTAATCATAAGCCCAAACAAAGCCCACAAACCCAACATGACTGAAACTCTAAAGCAACCCATGAGCCTAAATGAACCCTACCACCACCACCTGAAGAGGCATCGTCGAGGCCACACTCGCCATCGCATCCATAACAGATCCCACAAACCCAACATGACTGAAACTCTAAAGCAACCCATGAGCCTAAATGAACCCTACCACCACCACCTGAAGAGGCATCGTCGAGGCCACACTCGCCATCGCATCCATAACAGATCTGGAAAAAATATTATTTTCAGCGATCTACCTGCGCATAATAGCGAACAAATAAATGAAAACAACAACCCTGCCAAAGAACAATTGAGTGATTTGCAGTAACCTCCACCAAAGACAATGTAGAACTAAAAGAGGACATGAATAGTGTTAGAGAGCAAGTTTTGGGAGAAGTATTTGATGAAAACATAGCCGAAAAGGGGTGATGGGGAACTTCTATGGAGTTTTTCCTTTGGGACTCACATAGAGGGAGAGAGTGGCTAGGTTTTTTTTCTCTACCCTTATTCAATGGACTTTTCTCATTCAAACTAATTTGTTTTTAACTTGTAGAGTTTTTCTATTTAAACCCCGCACTTCTCTTTGTTCACCTCATATTCTAAGTTCACCCTAACTTCTGATTCAATTTTTTCACAATTTTTTCACAATTTCTAAGAAAACCCCACTATCTTACCAAACTACCCTTAAATACACACCCAGCAATAAATAAATAAATAAATAAATCATCAACCTCACACCCCACACCCCACACCCCACACCCCGCTCTCTTGCCCCTTACCACTCTAAGTTCATCTTAACCTCACATTATTTAAAGCGATAAAAACACTTGTCAAATGTGTAGCAGCATTATTCTATTATTATTATTATTATTATTAAGTTGTACTAGATGTTTTGGTTTTATTTTATTTATTATTAAAATTCCAAGGAGGTTTTGGTTTTATTTTTAGCCATCACACTTCATAGTCACCAGAACTTTTAATTTTGTATCAGCAATCAAACTTTTGGATGTGGTCATCTTGACTTCAGTATTTCACATACTCTTCAAGATATCTAAGCCAATTCATCAAAGACGAAGAAACTCAAATTGATTTTTTTAATTTTTTCAAGGAAAAGGAAGGACAATAGTCAAATTCAATCTATGAGTGTGAGAATAACTGCCATACCAGCCACCCAGGAAACTCAAATTGAATTTGACTTCTTCCAAGTGGTCGAGTGTGTGGGGTGTGTGTATAGATGTACTAAGGTTAAGTATTAAGTTGGATGCCCTTTTTTTGTCTTTTTACACAATAGTAAAATTTAAGAGCTTAGTGATTTAAGTCATGGGGTGAACAAAGAAAAATGTGGGGTTTAGATAGAAAATGACAGGACCCGACCCAAATTCCACTTTGGAATTTAAGCCGAATCCTGTGTGTGTTCAACACTTGGGTGCCGGGCACTGTTGACCAAAATGCCCTTATAAGTTTCAAAATTCTTTTCCAAGTTTGACTTCTATTGAAAATTCGGCAGTCTCCCCTGTAAAATGCTCATTTCCCAAAAGTTTTTACCTGTACAAAACTCAATTCTAATATCCACAATCTTCCGCAGGCATTCGACAAATAATTTTAAATGAACTCAGGCCTCAATAAATCAAATAAAACATTTCACCCTCTAAAACTCAACTCAACTCTTAGAATACTGTGAATACTTAATCAACTTCCAATAAAACCCAACTGAACAAATTCTCGGCACTTGATTTTATGGCTGCACCTAGTAACTCTAGGTTGTCTACGTATCCTTACAAAGGGATCAAGCCATACGTAGTTCTTCCAGCCAAACTTATAAGTAATTCAAATCCATTCACTAAAACTCAGACCAGGGTTATGGGTGTTAGAACAATCTCCCAATTATCCCATGTGCGTAACAAATAAATACATAAATACATAAATATATATATATATATATATATATAATTAACATATTACTTAGCAGTAGGAAAACGATAAGATTAATAAAATAGCATTTATTTGTAGAAAATCCTTAAAACTTGGAAACCTTAAATTCTTGTCTCATAAAATCAGAATTTAGGTATTAAAACTTTTACTAAAAAATACCAAGATGAAATCATCATTTTTAGTTTAAACCTATTAAAACCAAAATATTCTCCATCCAGGCGTACCCCTATTCGTGATCCGTCAATTCCATGAATTTCTATTTATTTCCCACATTATACCGTCAATTCCTTATGTCTCATAATGTGACACATCCTCGCAGGCCTCGATAACACAAAGTCAACCCGAGTCGCATTCCTCGCAGAACTCGGGGGACATGTAGTCAGCCCAAGAACGCACATCCTCTCAGAACTCGAGGGACATGTAGTCAGCCCAAGAACGCACATCCTCTCAGAACTCGAGGGACATGTAGTCAGCCCGAGAACGCATATCCTCGCTCCACACGGCTCAGGCATCCTCGAAACTCGTGGGGCATTGTCATAAAAGACAAACTGTTTCAAAGGCAACTGGGGGGGTACTCCCGTTGTGGGTTTGCAAATCATATTCCAAAACTTATCATAAACTTTCCCAAAATCAGTTCTCCACTACACTTAAAATATGTACCACATTCTGTTAAGAACTAGTGTCCATGATTCATCATTTTCAAGCCACCGAGTATATATATTAAATTTAAACATATAATAAGATATTTAATTAATTTCTTGTCCACCCAAACCAATTAATAAGCCGTTCCCATCTTTACACAATTATGCATAATATAATATCCTTAGAAAGTAAAAGCGATTACATTAAAACTCATAAGCAATAAATCATCCACTAACACTCACTCTGATACCTTAATAATAATCCCAATAATAATAATAAATAGATAAATAAATAAATAAAAACTAGATAAGTAAATAAATAAATAATAATAATTCCAAGAGATTCCATCACTTCTAATAATACATAATCTTCGAATATCAAAAATAGCATCCCATAACAGTCAAGCCTCATTTATAAGATTGTTCTTACACTTCTCGAATGATGAAACTACCTCGGGTGACTTTCGGTCAGTTGAGTGGTCAAACTTCCCAAACTGGCCAACCGGGCCCGCGGGGCCCACGACCCCCAAAATCCTTCCGGATTAAAAAGTGACCAAATTACCCCTACCCCTGAGGGCAAAATTGGAAATTCATATTTTATGAAATTAATTAAATGCACAAATAATCATAATTTGGGTCGGGATGTTACAATTTTGTCATATCCTGGATCGCTCCACCGTAGAACGATATTGTCCGCCTTAGGCCTCCCCTGCCCTCATGGTTTTGTTTCTGGAAACTCACGAGCAACTTCCCAGTGGGTCACCCATTTTGGGATTTCTCTAGCCCAAACTCGCTTAACTTTAGATTTTCCATGGAATCCGAAGCCAATAAGCTCCCAAAAGGCCTCGTGCTAGATGGAGGCGGGGGTTGTACACATAAGGCACATCAACTCCTCTTCATTGGTCGATGTGGGATGTTACAATCCACCCCCCTTAGGGGCCCGATGTCCATGTCGGCACACTCGCACTATACGACAGAGTGGCTCTGATACCATTCTGTCACATCCCGGATCGCTCCGCCGTAACACGATATTGTCTGCTTTGTGTGAGATTTTATATTTTTTTTCATCCCTTAAATAACCCTAACTAAGCCATTATTGTATTTTGTATATTGATGTTGGAATCAATAAGGAAACATAAAATGTACATTAACGTTCCAAATTCAACATATATTGTGTATTTTTTATATAAAACAAACCTCGAAATCGAAACCCCCCTGAATTATTTATAAAAAAACAATATAATGAATTTGGAAAGATAATGTACATTTCTCTCCATGAAATGTGTTGTAATTGATGTAGCAATTAATTTGAAAGTTTTTTTTTTCAACATTAAATTTCAGACTTAAAGCCTATTTGGTGGATTTAATTGAAACAATGTTTTTGTTATTTTCTTTTTATGCATTATAAGTGATTTAAGAAATAATCTACTTTTTTTTTAATTTTATGAATAATAGTGTACATTCTAATGGTTTCGAAAATAATCTACTAATGATTCTTGTTAAGTTTTTACCTTATCTAATTTTTTATAAAATAAAAAGATAATAATTCATTCGGTGACATATATCTCGCTGGCCCCAATTTCTCTATCCCCCTCTGTCTCCTATCTCAAATCTTGACACATGTCCATCCAATTAACACAACTTAACTCCCACTTAACTCTGTTAAAGCTTGAATTAAATTAATAAATAAATGAAAACAAATAACAAAGAACCCAGTCACCAGGCTCAGGTCGAACTTGCCGACCTCGAACTCCTCCAACATCTTGCCATTCTCGTCCACCATCCCCATCTTCTCGACCTCCGACGGCTGTGGAGGAGATGGAGCTTCTGAAGCAGGAGCGGAGCCATCATGGGACCAATGTGGTCCCAGGCCCCCACTCCATTTTTACCTCTTTTATTTGTATATTATATATGATATATAATATTATAATATATTAGATTAGTTTTAGGATATTTACCCTAAAATAAAATAATATATTAGGTTCTTTTTGTTTACAAATAAACCATAATATTTTTTTTTCCCCATTTCTTTTCTCAGTTGGAATATAAATTATTAATTTTTAAGTCTTTAATAGTGTAGATGATGAAATTAGTTTTTAATCAATTTAAAATAAGTAATTCATGATAATTATGAAGAGAGGACAAGTTTTATGATGGGCCCCCTCTAATGTGAAATCCTATCTCCGCCACTGTTCCGGAGGCATCGGCAGAAGCAACTCCGGCGAAGAGAAGGCGAGAGATGGAGATGGCACAGAGGTTGTTGTGGTGGAGGAGGAGGAGAAAAAGGTGACGGAAGGATAGGTAGCGGAGTTGTGGTTGGCGAGTGGGAAGAGGGAGAGAAGGGTAATGGTTGTAATTTTGATGAAAGTCGGGGTCTTTAGAATGTCAGTGGTGGTGGCCGCGAGGGCCTTCATGATGGATGATTGAGATTTTATCAGGAAAGTGACAGAAAGACGGAGAGAAAATTAAAGAGCAAACCAGAGTCAACAGCCACCCACAACCCAACTGCCAGACTCCGACCACGATGATGATCTAACATATCCGACTCCGCCGGTTTCATGGGTGGTAATTGTGTCGCGAAGAGACCAACCAAACATTGTCAACTGTGCGTGGCAGCAGTTGAGATTTTCCAGTGAAGCAATTTGGGATTTTACGGTGAGAAATTTGGGATTTTGGGTTGGAATTGATAGAAATTATGGGTTTTGCTTGTCGTTTTTCTTTCTGCTGGTGAAGCAATTTTCGGAAAAGAAAAAAATTGACTTTTTATCACAAATGGTCCTTAAGGTTTGCGAAATTATCATCTTTCTTCCCTAATATTTTTTTTGTGACACTAATGGTCTTTAAGATTACCCTCCACATATCAAAATGGTCCCTGCCATTAGCTTCCGTCAAATTTTCTGTTAAATTGCTGACATGGCACATGTGTGGAGCCCACACATCCAATGATATAGAGTCACGTGGTTTTAAATATAATATAATATATTTTTAAAACTTAAAATTCAAAAAAAATTTGTGATAAAAAGCCAAAAAAAATTGATTCACTTTTACTGCTTGGGAAAACCATTGGAAGCTTTGTTTCCTAAAGAGGGCCTTGTTCGTCACCTAGCAATGTCCCTTTCTTTTCTCTTTTGTGCTTGTCTTGGTGGAACTAAATTTCAGATTGGGGAAGACTCCTATTCCTTCTTGGTTGGTATTTGTAACCTTGAGGCCAGTTTGGTTTACGGAAAAGATTAGATGGGAAATAACTTCCCATGTCTTTCCAAGGGATGTGACATGGAAGATTCATTTCTCATGTTTGGTAATCTTGGCAAAATAACCAAGAAGTACCACTTTATTTCCTTTTACATGTTTGGTTTGTGTAGGAATGTAAAACAAAGTTTGTTTAATTTTCCAATTATACCCATATAAAATCAAATAAAAAAAGAATGCATTTAATGCTATATTGTAATTCTAAATTGTTAATGGGGACAAAATGACCATGAAAAATGTGCATTTAATATTGGCTCATTTTCCCAAACTTTACCATGAGAAGGAAAACAAAATCTAAGGGAGTAGGAGAGCTTCACTTTCCCCCCTACTTTCCCGTGTGCAAGGCAACCATTTCCCATGGTTGGACTTACAAAACATGGGAAAACAATTAATTTTCCATTCCCAAGCTTTCTTTCCCATGAATCAAACGAGGCCTAAAAGCTAATGACGTCAAGTCAAAATTGACAATCACAAAAACGCACGTACTCCTCCACTTGTGGTACCAAGGAAGAAAGAAAGGAAGGAGCCAATTAAGGCTTGATTGGTTGTTGATGTTGTTGTACATGTATGAATAATGAACTGCAGTGGTGCGAGAAGAAGAAACGTTCGATAACATTGGTGAAGATGAAGCAGTGGTGGGAAAAAGAAATGTTTGATAATATTTAGATTTATTATTATTATTTTATGTTAACACTGTTATGTTTTAGTTAATTAGTTTTAAATGATAAGACATGTGTCAATAATTTAAATAGGGGACAGAGGGGGAACAGAGAAAAAGGAAACAGAGGATCTGAACTACCCTCAGTTTTATATTGGAGATTGAATTGCCTTTCCCTTCCCCATTCATTTTGTGCCATGTGTACTTTTCACTCACACATAGATTAGTATTTTATGTGAGTAGAAAGAACACACTTGCACAAAAAGAGAATCGGGAAGACAAGAAGGGGAAGGCCAATTAATGTCCATCAATATAATCTTTAATGTTATACTGTTTTTCTGTCATTTTCCTTTATTTTATGTTTTAACGGACGGTATTACGTTGACAATATTTCAGGTTAATTCATTTCCCAGCTTGGAAACATTGGGCTTGGACGTGAACACGGAGACTTGGTCTGAACCGTGTAGTCCGCTGCCAGCAGAGTTGTTTAGCAATCTAAAAACTATTGCTTTTTCTTGTGCACACCCCAAGTCATTTGGTTTCCTTGAGAAATTACATAATCTTGAAGAGGTCGTTGTTCATTGTGGCCCTTGGAAAGAAATATCTGTGTATGAAGGAAATAGTAGCGGGGAAACACATGCAGTGGGGACAACCCTCCCACAAGTAAAGAATTTGTGTCTCAACAAAATGGGGGAGCTAATGCATCTAGGGAAGGATAACATCCAACCAGCAAATCACCCAGTTTTTCCAAACTTGGAAATTCTGAGGGTGTACGAATGTGGCAGATTAAAGAATCTAACTTCATCTACAATATCATTTCGGAATCTAACCACTTTGGACGTATGGTGTTGTGATGGACTGAAAAACTTAACATCTTATTCGGTAGCTAAATGTTTGCACCAACTCAAAAAGCTGGTAGTCGAGCATTGTAAAAGCATGATAGAAATAGTGGGAGGCAACGGAGAAGAAGATGCAGGAAATTATGAGATTGCTTTCAGCTGCTTGCAACATTTGACACTTAATTATCTTCCAAGTCTGCAAGGCTTTTGCTCATCACGAAATTGCACCGTCAGAGTCCCATCCTTAAACTCTTTAATGGTCAAGAAATGCATGATTGAGTTGACAACTTCCCCTGATGGATTACTGATCGTAAGTGACCCAAGACCAGAAAGACGACAGATAACAGAGGAAGTGGAAGAAAAAGAAAAAAAAGAAGAAGATGATGGCAGTGAAACGGTAAGTTGTTGGTCATCAATCATCTATATATGCTGAATATTAACTACATAGTCACTTCCATAATTCATAGTTAATTCTCATATTAATAAAATGTTTGTTATATGTTTCGTCGTAACGCTCAACGAAATATTTTCAGGAGGACCTGTAGCTGATAGCCGATACAAATTTATGCTGCAAGACTCCATATTTGATAGGTTCGACATTAATTCCTAATTAATTTCACTGCAAGTATATAGTGGGTACCATTCAATAAATATTTCTTCTTCCTTTTTGAGAAACCTTGACGCTAGGTGGGAAACTTTATTGTGATATAAGAATTTTCTGTTTGATTTTCTACTTTGAGTATTGTTGCTTGTTCTGACAATTCTCTCTGTTCCTGCCCTTGCCGCCACTGCCAATCTTATGTTAATTGTTTGATGCAAGGTTGCAAGCTGCCGCCTCCAGGCACACTTGTTTGAGTGGAAGATTGTGCCGGTGTGTATTAGTAGGCACACCTGTTTGAATGGAAGATTGTGCCGGTGTGCATTAGTGAATCTGTGTTGGCATTGATCCATTCCAAGCCATGTTATATTATGCTTGTGTTGGATTGTGGATAGGCGCTCTGGGATACAAGTGTGATCTATATCGGAGCCTTGTTCTGGTTCAGAGCTCTCTACTTTTTCGGCTTTGGCGATTGGTTCATGTCTCTCTCAGCTTTGTTACTGTTGTGGTTGTAAATGGAAGCTTCATCTGTTAACAGAATTGTTTTTTTTTTTTGTTTTTTTTTTCCTTCTTTGCGTGTTTACTTGGATTAATTGGTATGTGTACCAATGTGTGGGAACTGTTGTGTGGTTTGTGTTGTTTGGGCCCAAATTATGCACACCAGCCCAGTCAGCTATTGGGCTCACTTTACAAACAGGATATGGGATCTATTTGCCAAAAATGGAGAATAGCCACTACCATTCAAAATAGGCGGAGCAAAAACTAAACCAATTACCCAAGGTAATTCTGACAAATTGGAATTTAATTACCACCAATGGTGATTTAATCCAAGACCCAAGATTAATTGGTTTAATATGTGCCCAGTTTACAATATCTTGATCTCAAGATAATTGATCACCATCGTTGGTGACTGATTCGAACCAAATTGGCCACCTTGAAGCTAAAAAGGTAAAAGCAGAGTCCACTTTAAATCAAAAGCCATAGCCATTTGCCTCCAGGAAAACATGCTGTGTTCCTTTCCTCAATACTCGTGTGGTTTCATTAACAGGATAATTGATCCCAATTTAAGGGCATGAGGCATTTAGGGGAATTGGTTGACAAAGAGCCAAGACTAATCACCATAGCTGGCTATTGATATTTGTTGCTTTTATCACAAGAATTATTACTTCCTTATCTGATAGGGGTCAGTGGAGTAACACTTTCTAGCAATTGTTCTTCAGATATTTAGGAATTATCAGCATACATTTTCCTATAAATATAAGGGGACGTGAACTGGAGAGAGGACAACCAAATCAACCAACAAACAACCAAAAATTCTCAAAAAACAATTTGTAAAACAGACAAAACATAAAAGATTTCACGATCTCAAAAGCCTTCAAGTTCAGAAGAAGCAAAGCAATCAAGCTTACGGGAGCAATCCAGCTCTCAAGAAAATCAAGCAAAACTCAGATTTCTGTCGTTACAAATTCGGTTCACCACATATGAACCAAGCAGAAGCCAGGTTATTCATCATATGAAAACCTCAACAAATTCCCAGAGACACCTTGATGTCTTAAGCTCGTCAGAACAGCTTACGGATCACTCCCAGCCAAGTAGAACAGGTACTGAAGTGCAATTCCAGGCCAACCACTGCAATCCAGCCACTCCCAATCCAGTCTAGTCTAGAGAAATCTTAGTTAAGTCTAATATACTGATGCTTTAAATAACTCACATGTCGCTCCCAGCCAAGTAGAATAGGTACTGAAGTGCAATTCCAGGCCAACCACTGCAATCCAGCCACTCCCAATCCAGTCTAGTCTAGAGAAATCTTAGTTAAGTCTAATATACTGATGCTTTAAATAACTCACATGTCGCTCCCAGCCAAGTAGAACAGGTACTGAAGTGCAATTCCAGGCTAGCCACTACCAATCCAGCCACTCCCAATCCAATCCAGTTTGGAGAAATCTGTGTCCAGCCCCAACAAAAACATCATGTTGTCTTATTCTCATGAAGATAGCCCTCACAACAAGCAGAACAAGCGCAAACTAGTAGTTCTGTCCACTTTTCAAGCTGCCTTATGGCTTAACCTGATTATAGCTCTACCATTACAGTCATAGGTATCGATTTCCAACTAATCCTCATTAGTTGAACGTGCTGACTCCTTTTTCTCTTCCTCTTCTGTTGATCCTTTTCAGGCATGGAGCATGAGAAAGGAGAAGGCTGGGTCAACACCAATGCCTCGATTGGATTCCTGGCTCGCGAGAGGACTCATTCAATTTTAGACAAAATTGGAAGTTGGATCAGGTTGAAAAAGGTAGGCGAGCAAGGGCTAGGCCCTGGCAGTTGCTTCTTCTGGCCCGATTCGTAGTTTGCGTAGGCGTGCCACTATTGGGGATGAGACCTGTTGCATTCCTAAAAGGACACAAATTAATGTGCAAACAACCAATTAAAAATACCCGCAAGTGCACGAATCTAATGAAGTATAGATTATGTAAGTACGGGGTCGATCCCACGAAGAACTTGTCGGTTTCCTATAAGTTCTAATTTGAGTACGTAAAGAACACTAATTTTACACAACACACAAACACAATACAAATTGGAAACTAAAAATGAAGTAAGGAAGATAAAAGAAATGAAACAACACAAGAAAACAAAGAAAAACACAAACAGCACTTTCTATCACCCGTTTATCACCATTTGGACAGATTCGTTTCTCTGTTTTTCAGTTTCGACCTCTGTCCAGTTTTTGACCTATAACTTTCCAACCGTTTATCCAAAATTCACGTTCTTTATACGGTTGGAATCAGCACAGAAAATGCAAGAACACAGCGCGGACCAAACGTCCAAAACAATTACGAAAACAAACAAAATTCAGTGACAAAGACACAAAACGTGTCAAACACGCAACTCACACACACATTGGGGGGGTTTTTTGATTTGGTTCAAGTGACCTATTTCTATTGCATGAAAGTAAATGAACTTTGAATTTAAATGTGAATGGCAGAGATGAATTTGTGGTTCATGGAATGGATTACAAGCATTGTTTCTTCAAAATTGTCCATATGCGTATTATGTGCATTGTTTTGCTCATCGCTTGCAATTAGCATTAAATGACGCGGCTAAAGATGTGAAAGTTGTATGGAGATTTTTTTCAATGTTTACTAACATTGTGAATTTTGTTAGTGCTTCTGCTAAGTGCTGTAATGAGTTAAATTTAATTCGAAAAGCTGAACTCAAAGAGTTGTTGGATTCTGGGGAACTTGAGACAGGTAGAGGACTTAATCAAACTCGTAGTTTGAAACGAGCTGGAGCCACTCGTTGGGGCTCTCACTATTCCTCTATTACAAGTTTGATGACTTTATTTAAAGAGACTAAGTTACTTCTTCAGGAAATCAGTGATTTTGGACCTAACCAACAATTTCGTGGAGATGCAGAAAGTAACTATATTGCTATGATGTCTTTTGAATTTGTGTTTTCGTTGGTCTTAATGGATAAAATTATGGGATTGACCAACTTTCTTTGTCAAGTGTTTCAGACAAAAACTCAAGATATTGTAAGTGCTTTAAATTTTGTTGAAAACACAAAAATGCAGTTCCAAGATATGAGGGCACATGGTTGGGATGATTTATTTATGAATGTGGTATCCTTTTGTGAACTACATGGTGTTGATGTTCCTGATATGGGTTCTCGTTATATGACGGGCACACGACGTTCTTGTCAACAAAAAGATTTTATTACAGTTGAACATTACTATCGCATTGATGTGTTTAATGATGTGATAGATTGCATGTTGAGGGAGTTAAATGACAGATTTCCAGAGCAAACAATTGAACTTCTTATTCTTAGCTCAGCATTGGATCCTCGTAATTCCTTCAAGTCATTCAATATTGAGCATCTATGTAAACTTGCTGAGAAATTCTATCCTGCTGATTTCATTCCAAGTGACTTGAAAGCTTTAGAAATTGAGTTGAGGTATTTTCAAAATGATATGCATCGCCTTCCATGCTTTAAGGGAATCACCACTCTTCCTCAGTTATGTCAACAATTGGTGGAAACAACTTTGGTAGAAAACTACCATTTGCTTTATAGATTGATTCGGTTGGTGTTGACTCTTCCTGTCTCTACAGCAACAACGAAACGAGCTTTTTCATGTATGAGAATTATTAAGAATAGCCTTTGGAGCACCATAGCTGATGAATTCCTTGCTGACACATTGAAAGAGAGTTTGCTAATAGTATCGATAATGCAGAGATAATTGAGGAATTTAAGATTTCTAAGCCTCGTAGGGTAAAGTTTTAGATTTAAATAGTTTAGTTTTGTGTTGCATTGCATTTATTTGTTTTTTTTTAGTTTTTTTTTGTTAAGCTTTTATTTATGTATAGAGATGCATATTTGAGGGTAAGGCTCATTACGTCCCCCTTGACTAGGTGTATCTTTTTATTTTTATGAATGAAATTCACTCGTACCATCGAGTTTTTAAGGTAAGTTTCGCCTACCTGACTTTTGAATCCTGGATCCGCCACTGCTAGTGATGAACCTGGTCAAATGGTTGTTTGGGATGGTCCAGTAGCTAATATCTCCTCATTAAAAGGCATATGGATATGACATAGAGGAGAGTAATTGTGGCGAAATTTTCTTATTAATGGTAGTTTTTCAATGCCAAAGTAGTTACAGATGCATAACTTCCTATTCCAAATACGTCTAAATAGAAAAGGTATTAACAAATTCTGCATTACTTTTGGTATTACAACTGAAAGCTTCAATTCACTTACATGTACAGCCAATACGTTCTCACTTAGGACAAAAAAATGTCTATGATCTCCTCAAATTCACAAACTCCAGCCCTCTAATAAAAACGAAAAAGTAATAAGAAAATGAAGAAAAATGAAGGAAGCTTCTAAAAGAAAAACTTCCGTTGTTCCCCTTTACTCGTTTTGAGTACTTGGTATGGTAATTGGTTACTTTGAAAAACTGCTTCTAAAATTCTCAAAACTCCCTATGATAATCTCACCCGGGGTAAGACAAAAACAATACATCATCACGAGCCCCGCTATGACAGCCGCTCATGTCACCCCTCTTCCAAATTCTACAATTATGATAATTGGTTAGTTCATGTAAACTTGTCTTATAGATTTTGGCAAAAATAAAATTAAAAAAACAAAGGTCATATGAATCTTGTCAAAGAATTGAAAAAATAATAATCCGACGGAGCATCATAAACATTATAACTTAGTCGGAGTATTTATCTGGAACAGCACCGAACGCTTTATAATTTTATGGATAAATAGTTAGTACTCTCTAGAACATGTTAATATTATCCAATATAAATTAGTCTGTACAGTTTGACGTACCAAACGAGCCCTATATGAATACTTATAGGTTATTTTGTATAAGTTTAACTGGTCTCTTTGTGCCTTGTTTTTGTTTACATTCCATCAACTTGGCTTTGGTTTAAGTTTGTAAGTGATAACTATGGGATTTATGGATTTAATTGATCTTGTTTGCTGTCTTACTTTTTAAAGTTTAATTGGATGGACCCAGAATGAACAATCAATTCAAACTTTACTGCCTTAGAATTCATTGTTCTTATTTTATTTGCATGAATTTCTTGTTTTCTTAGTTACTCTTTATTAAACTGTGCTTGATTTTCATCATGTTTATATTACGTAATGCTACATGATTGTGTTTTTATCGTGGCCCCAAGTAAAAGTTTATCAATTTTGTTTCACTTACTTATATGTA